CCACGCAACCCCGCCCTGTTGTTGTTTCACTATTGCTTTGTTGTGTTAGTACTCGTCCTCAGTAGTAGTAGTAGTAGTAGTAGTAGTAGTAGTAGCTAGTAGTAGTAGTAGTAGTAGTAGTTGTTGTTGTTGTTGTTGTCGTTGTTGTTGTTGTTGTTGTGGTCGTCGTCGTCGTCGTCGTTGTTGTTCCCACCCCCCTGTTGTTGTTCCTCAGCAACAATCCCCCTCCCCCCTCCGCCTTGTTGTTGGGGGTGGAGGGTTGTTGTGTTCTTCGCCAAATCCACGAACAACTGTTTTGACGCCCCCACCCCTCCCTATCGAAGGGGTTTCGCATAACGGAGACCCGACGGCAGTCGGTCCGGTCACCTGTTTTGTGAGGAGCCGCAATTCGTTTCCAGTTGGAATGCTCTTCATGACCGAGGTTTAGCTACTCCTACCAGAGCATACTTGCCTCAGCGGGTGAAGGCCAGCCAGGGTCCGAGAGGGAGGCTGACAGCTGAAGGTGCCGTTTGCGCTTGGGCGCTTGCCGAGCCTCACTGAGACTCTGGGGAAGAATGCAGCCATGCATGCTAAGTGCCAATACTGCCTGTCGTCCGCCGTGTCCGCTAGTGCAACCCGGGTTTCTTGTAGCAGTGCTGGGCAAGAAGCTTGCAATCGCTGGCCGCCAGCGCAGCTTTCATGGCCCAAATGCTGCATGTGAGACCATGAGTCGGGGATACCCCGGAGACGCCGGAGACGGTCAAGATTGGGGATCCGAGGTCCATGGCCGGTCGGCCCTCGTGAGCAGCGTTGGCGAGCCCTCTCGTCAAGGGACGAATGACTCGGTGGTTTCTTCCAGTGCCGCCAGCTTCGGAACGTTGAAGACTTATCAACCCAAGGACAGCATGAAAGATTTGAAAGTTTTCGCCGATTCCTTTGCAGATCACCTTCGGGTTGTCATGAACCACCTCTTGAAGACTGACGAGGACTTGTCAGCAGCCGTTGTAGTCACACACCGTCGTCTTGTAGATCTCGTCGGTTCAGCACAGACGGTGTTGTGGAAGCTGTCGCGTACAGCATGCAGCACCTTCGAGAAGCTACCTTCTCTGCTGTGGGCTTCCCGGTGTGCTGGCAAGGAGAATGAGCTAGATGATTCGATTTCCGAGATTCATAGCAGCATGGCTGCGTTGCGCAAAGAGACACAGGCGATCCGCAACGATTACATCGATCTGCTCAAGCAGGTACAGTACGTGGGGCACTGCACACAGGTCACTATGGATCACGCGGTGATAAGCTCTTTGCCAGAACCGGATGAGGATGAGCATGGCATCTTAGAGTGCCCACCAGCCAGCCCAGAGTTCAACGAAGCTCAGCGAAAGTCGCAGAAGAGCTTGCAACTCACGCTCGCTCACCTCGAAGGCATTTGCGAGATGATGGAGGATTGCTCGGACTTCTGGTTGATGCTACACCATGCTGAGCTCCAGCTCCGTAAGCTTGAGAAGGAAGCCTCGGTGATCCGCGATGGCAAGCCTTGTACAAAGACTGAGCCAGAGCATGAAAGCAGCTCGTGCATGAAAAAGTTCTGTGAGCATTTGAAGTCCTTCTGCGGCGTACACTGTGGCGTTCAGCCAACCAATAGTTTCAAAGTCGCGGCGATTTCAGCCTGCTGAAAAGGCAGCCATGCTTGGCAACAGGTTGAGTCAATATTCTCGATGCGGGTACCTTGCTGATGCCGAAGTCGGCCGTCTCGGCTCTATCAACATGCACGTACACTTCCTGTCACTCACCATCCTCAAATCTTGTGTGTGTTTGCTGAATGCCGACTTCGCGTGCATCGCAGAGTCTATTTAATTTCGACAAGTACAGCACTTCCTTGTGACTTTAATTCCACACGCTGTCAAGAAACATCGTAGCTGGTTGTGCGAGCGCTTGTCAATGTGTACAGTCCTCCACCCCCTGCATGCGTGCTAGACCTGTGCTTGCAACAACGACGGCCCCACCAACATTCCCAGCATGCACTACCCGGAAGGCAGCTGGGCGCCTGCGCTCTTATCGGAGCACCCCGGCGGAAGGATCGAGGGCTGGTTGGCATTTTATTTGCCTTTGTATGCTTTCCGAGCTGAGCTGCCTCGTCGCCACAAGCCCTAGACTCCACAACCAATTCCTGGACTGATGAAGCATTTTGCTGCGTCATGGTTTCGGATGATTTCGTGTGACTGGAACAGTTTGGGAGTCATCCGCTTTCATTCCGTGCCTCAAAGCCCCGTATCTCTACACCCCTAGACAGCCCCTAAATGACTCCTGTGCAACCCCAGTAGACCCCACCCTGATAACTTACAGATCCCCGAAACCTTTGCCGAGGCTGTTTCTTGCCACCAGGGCGGCCTTCAAGTGCGTGGGACTGTCGAGCATCGAAAAAGACGATCATTCCCGGTAATCTGAGCGTTCTAGGGTTCAGAGTTTAAGGTTTTAGGCTTTGCGGATTCGCGGGGTTTAGGACCTGATTTCGGACTTTAGGGTTTTACGGTTTTCGGGTTTAGCGATGCTTGACAGGTGTGGAACCGGAAGCGGCAGCATCTTGGTTGCCACCGGCACCACCAACAGAGAAATGGAACTGCAGCCTACACTCCCCGACGAGCTCGTAATGTACCATAATGTACCCGCTTGACAGACACGCACCGGTACTCGTAGTGACAGTCGAGGCATGCCCTCAAACTTGAATGCTCAAGATGCGTGCTACTGCAATCGCCTACTGTTGTCGTTGCCTGCAGCCGCAGCACGTGCTCAAGCTTTCCTGCGCGCGTGTCAGCGGAGTATGGCGCGACTCACTCAAAGTTTGTTGCGAGGTTGCTTCTGCAGGCTGCATATTCTGGAAGGTTGCTGCCCACGTTTTGGGTTTGCTGATGGTCTTTTGAGATGGTGAAACTTGCAATGCAACTCTGCACATGAAACCGGTTCGAGTGTGAACTTGATGCCTGAGCAGTACCAGGAAATGCTGTAAAGGGTTTGAACACGTTCCAGTCTTCCGCGCTAGTCCCCACATAGTCATAGAGTTAGCCGCTGCGCGGACCCCCCTCGGCCGACCTTCACATTGCCAACCCGAAATCCTAATTTCGGACTCGAACAGGCTACACCCTACACCCTGAAGGTCGGGGTAAGGGTGGTGTTTGTACTGTGTTAGCCTTACAGTAATGGTGGCGGTCCACGGTGATGGTGGCGGTGGGGGTGGGGCGGCGGTGGTGGTGGCGTGGTGGTCAGCAACTGACCAACTGACGGACAAGGGGTTGGGTTTGTAGGGGGTCCGACAAAACCAATTGCGAGAATCACCAAAAACGCTTTTTTTCACGAAGTTCACGCAATGCGCGAAATCGACCGATCACCTACAAAATCCTAATCCCCAACCCCCCACTCCATTCAAGAAAGGATCAACTAAGGTTTGCGTGTGTCTCCCCCGTGGACACAACCACTAACAATCCGGAAGAGACTAAATCTGGATGCCGAAGCATGAGTGAATGTACTCCGAGACCCTATCCTAGTTACCCCCGATCTATAGATTATGACGTTTAAGATGTAGAGCCAGCAACTGCAAGCCACAGCCGCGCTTCCAATGCAATCTCTACGGGTCAGATGAGCGATATAGCCATGCTATATGGATCTAGCCCATGTGGCATACGATGCATAGCCGTAGCCGCTAACCCTCTACCCATTATGAAACCTCAAGCATCCCTGATCCGTGAAGACCACAACCCAGGGAGAGATCCAAAAGGGCTGCTGAGACGAAGGACACACAGAAGCTGGTGAATTGGGATCGGCATTTTGATCCACGGCCAAGCTACAGAGTGAACAGGGCTTTGTAACAGTCGTTGGACTTCTTTGTAAGTTACGCCGCACAGTTCAAGATCGCAGCTAGCTAGCCCGCTTCTGCCTTCAGTGGCTTTGGTGACTTCAGTGCTTGGGAAGTCTTGTCAGAACTCGGCCGCCCTTGCATTGGGCACGTGTCTCGAACACGTCTCCACACTTGGACTTGGTCTTCTGCCGTCTTGTCCTTAAGGCGATGCTAGAGAAAGCTCGTGGCTTCTGGTTGTCTGAGAGTGTTCATAAACTGGCCCCTGAACGCACAGCGATGCAGAACACTGTGGCTCTAGAGCAACAAGGTGGGGACATGCTTTTGCTCTACTTTTAACCGCTGCCCTGCCGAACACTTCCACGACCACCATCACCGACATTGCCGCCACCGCCGCCACTGCGACTCGTGCTGCAGCTCGTGGTGCTGGGGCCTCTGCTGCTTCTGGTAGGACGACGATCCCGACGACCACCCACCACCTTCATAAAGGGAAGCTTGTTTGTTGGAGCGGCTTGGTTGCTGTGCGAGTAAATTCAAGTCTAGGAGAAGTGAGACTTGCTCTCATCAGCTGAGGCTGAGGGTTCAATTTCGTTACGAGGTCTGCTTGTCTTTCTGCGGGGGCCTTTGAATCCAACAACGGCAAGCCGAGCCTCTCAGCACTCCGCGCAAAATGTACTCCTGGAGGGTAAGCAGCAGCGGCATGTGAACAGTGCACAGTGGGTTAGACCACAGTCTGCATAGCATTTGCATTTTCACAGATGTGACAGGACACTCCAGTTCCGCTTCCACGCAACGAGTGGGCCTGGCCAGAATTGCATTTGGTCTGTTTACACACGGACCACCGCCTTTAAGTATGAACTCTTGGTGGTATCGGAGATCAATAATCATATCATAATAATAATAATAAATAATGATAGTTTTTATGCTAAGAGCTGTCCGCTTGATTTGTTCTTTCGCCGAAGGTGCACCTCCAGATGGAAATCAGCAGCTTACCACACTAAGACTAAGCAGAACCAGAAAGTACTGAACATTCAGGGCACTGCCCTTGGCTGGCACAAAGAAAGGAGAATGGGCAGTTTAGAAGCATCAACCACCACACTGAAATCTGGCTGCCCTACTAACAAAGGTCCTCGTGATTAATAGCAGGGTGTGAGTAATTAGTAATATTGACCTCCATTCCAGTACCCATACTATCTCTTGGCGGAGCAATGTCCTAGCTTGAGTCATAGAGGGGTCTCAATGATCTTGTCATCGCTGGCCAGGAAGGGCGGCATACTGATCACTGAGGATGAGTTGAAGGCCGAGTGCAAGTACCGAAATTTGGCACAGAGGTGGTGCTTTGACAACATTGCAGCATACCGCGGTTCACAATTCACAATACGTATATAATGCTTAGCCTGATATTTGACATGCTTGTCGACGCTCCAGAACACGTGCCGACGGTGGCAGGGTGTAGATCAACTCCCAGTGTTCGTCGTTCAGAAGATTTCAGAATGCTAGACAAAGGAAGGGCACCGACCAGTTGTTTTTTATTGGCACATGTACCTATACGGTGCATCGGTGCGGTGTAGCATGCGGGCTGGCATTCGAACAGGTGGCGTGGGAGTTCTTCGATACTAGTGGCGGCATAGCTGCAATCAGAAAACTTGCGAACTGTTTCAAGATCCCACGTGCTGAAGACTTGGCTGTCTTCATGCCTTCCACTTGGATGCCGTATGACCGTGGGGCACCCTTTGGATCGATCTGTGTGCAACTGATTCCGACGGACGATCCGATAGAATCAATCCGAAGCCTGCATCTACAGCTATGTACGGACAACTAGGCCAGCAGGATGATGTTGGATGCTTCAGAATTTGCACGTTTCCTGCATTTGTTAAACTTGGCAGCTTGTTCAATCAAACTGCTTATGCTTGTCTTTTTCTAGCCACGGTGTGTATGCATGTATGTTCGTTTGTCGCTGTGCTTGCAAATCATTCTACATGCTGTTCTGCCTGTGTGCCGCGTGTCTGCCTGCACGCGTGCAGTCTCTCGGCGGTTGCTGTGTCTGAACCTTGTGCAACACGACTTGACAGTGCAGATCACGACCTAGACGCTTACTCTAAAAGAATGGAAAGCGAATTTCGCAGACGGTAACTTATGTACTGAGACCTCGTGTATGCTTCCGAGGCAAGGGCAAGCTCACCATGTCAGAGATCAAGCGTCGCCTGCAGACGTTCTACAAGGCGCGGAAATCCCTTTGCCGAGCTCGAAGCATTCTTATCTGAACCGTCACCATGCCTGCAATCAGCTGTGTACCAGACTTGCCATCGTCTACCGCGACAGCCCCGTAAGGCCCCACGTGGTCTTTATTCACGTCCGAAGTTTGAGCTCTTGCAACCGCACATACTTAGCAACGCATTGCCGCGCTTCTATCCGATCCTGACTGTCCTCATGTTGAACCGAAGACTCGGGCACGCAGATAGACGCAAATCATCGGACTCAGACGATTGACCCCGCAGTTTTTTGCCTATTCTCGGAGTGAGGGCTGCCTGCGTGCATACTCTGGGTAAGATAGAAGCAAGGCTTCTGCTAAGCATTAAATTATGGTGTACTACGAAGTAGGGCCCCGAAAGATGTCATTCGAGCATGGAGCAACTGGCAATTGGATGAGAGTAAGCTTGCTTGTCATTCGCTGGACAAGCACTGCGTCGCAGTTTGCCCACTCACCCGAGGGTTGATTGCATTGGGGTTTACTTCGATGCAACGGAGGCAACGTGAGGGATACATTGTCTTACGTTGCATGAGCTTTAGCCCATCCTATCCCCAAAAGATCGCATTTGTTTTACAACCTGCCTTGTGACTGAGTTCCGACACCTTGCAAAGTCCCAAACCCAAGACCCTACTGCAAGTCCTGCATGTCGGCAGGACATCACAACCAGGGAGGTGAAGTTTCTGCTGAGCCTTTGACCTCTTGGGAGTCGGAGTGGGAGCTTTTTCAGGTTTTCGGCTAATATAGGGGCCTTAATAATTAGAATAGGGTTTGGGGTATATTATACTATAATTATACTAAGGAACCCCCAAAACCCTATTCTAATTATAAGGCCCCTACATTAGTCTTGGTGCTGTCAGGTCGTAGCCTTCAGAGTGCTCGGGTAAGCGTAAGGCAGAAAGGGACATTCCGGCGGCTGGTTTCAGGGGCCCAGGTTACGTTACAGGGGGATATGACCCGAAATCCTTTGACCTGAATTCCCTCAAGCTGCACGGTTTGTCCTATGCAAAAATGCGTTATTATGTTCGACGTGCTGTTGATGGTTGCACGCTTCCACATGATTCGGGCAGGTGCCGGCATGCTACGGCACACACGAGAAAATGCTCTGGGTTGCATGGAGGGCCTCCAGTCGCTGATCACAGGGCTCCCAAGGTCAGGGGGATCTTTTCAGTCTTAGGGCCTTTTGCGTGGCTCGTTTACCAGATGGGAGGACATCAGCAGGACTTTGGGCAAGGGGCTGACAGGCGTCGGGGCCTGCCGTAAGCAAAGCGATGTATCGTAGACCTGAGGTTGGGCTGGAACTTTGGACTACACGTTCTGGGCCTTCATGGATTTTTGTTTGCTTCGAACCCGAACTGCTTGCCGATTTAGGGCACACTTGGACGGTGGGGGATTTGGTTCGGTAGAGTCAAAATTATATAGCTTTGTCGGAAACGCTCACTCAGGTTCCCTGTTGAGTACGCTTGCCAGGGATGCGGCTGAATGCTTCAAGTACATGACAAGGATGTTTCTTTTACTCTATATGAGCTAGTGACAAAACAGCGCTTCGCACCGGCACGTATTTCCGAGCGCGGGAGGGGTGGGGGGGATGGCAGGAGAGGGATTTGATGCTTTCTCCTGCTGCTGCTGCTGCTGCTGCTGCTTTTGCTACCACTCGTCTTTCTTCTCATCGTGGTGGTTTGTCTGCTGCCGTCGCTGGCGTTTTTCTCGTGATTTGTGTCGCCTTATTCATGGTGTTGACTCGTGCGGTGGAGAGTGGGGTTGTAGGCACGGCGCGGTGATGCATCGCCGTTCATTCTTGGACACGTGGACGCGCCTTCTCCGTGCAATGATGAAATGTCCAAGACTCATAGGACATTTGATGGCAAAACTTGCTGTTTCCAGTGCCCTTTCCAGCTTCTAGTCCATCCATGGGCCTTGGAATACCCACTTTCGTTTCAGGGCTGGTCGCTTAACCGAGGAACAACCAGCCAGAGATCACCTTCGACGCACCCCGACTCGGATGGTAGACTTTTGGGCTGGGGGTCTAGAGTTTCAGGTTTTTGGGTCAGGTGGTCTTGGGCTTGAGGGGGGTGAACCCCACCCCGAAGCCAGGGTTGGGTGAATTCAGATCGAGCTTGAGTTGTGGAGAATGCCCAGGAGCTGTATGCCCTCCTCAAGGACAACCAGCTGACGCAGCTCGGCGACATTCCAAGCGCCTAAGTTTAAGCCAGCAGGTCGAGGAAGAGTGTCCTGAGAATCCCCTCGATTGGCTGCTTGTGAGAAGAGAGAAAGGTTTTGGCCCTGAACGAATGGGATATCCAAAGCAGCTTGTATCCGGCTTGGGACACTTCCTGCTATAGCCATTATGTCAGGCTTACCTATCTTAAGTCCTTTGCTGGTGACATTGTATTACACACCTACACATCTATGAAGCTAGGATGTGAAGCAACGTGTCCCAATTCATCCCGAATACCCTGCCTTCCGCAGCCGACCTCCGACACGGCGGTTCATGCAATGGAGACGCTTAGGATTGCACGGCTGGCTTACCGAAAGTCATGTAAGTAACCCAAGACTCCAAACCGAAGGCGACCATGTGGAAACGAACACAAACTCCGAAGCCAGCAGGAAACATATTGCTTGTGACAGAGCTCACATCTGCAAGAAACCCATTGCAAGAAAGCAGTTCCATGATGATTGTCCGAATTATGCGTCTAGTCAATGAGTCAATGGGCTTTCGGTACTCTGGAGACCTTGAGCGCCTAGGCAAGCAAGCCAATTACAATCTCCGCAGGAACTTCGATCCAGTCAAAGAGGCGTTCAAGGTTGGGTTTGTCCTGTGCACGCCACCGCTGTGAAATCCAAGCATTCGAGGGTCACGTGACAACACTTGCCCATTGACCTCGGAAGACCAAAGTCGCCATGAGTGCCAGCACAGCCTCCACGGAGCTACTACTACATGTACTACTGGGCCTGCAACTGTATTCTAAGTGTCATGTCATTGTTTCAGTGGCATTTTTCCAGACGAGCACACAGCCATGGCCATGGTTATTTCGTGTGATGCCACTCTTGCTGAGTGTCAAGAAGAGCACTGATGTGCTGTTATGTCAATGTGGCTTCTGCAGGTCTTGGTTATCACTTTCCTTTCCAGCTGATGTTTACGCCACTACCGCCACGATATTGAAACGTACGCGTGTCTTCGTTTGTTTTCCATTGCAACAGGAATTGGCTCAAAGAGATGCCAAAGGCATCTTCCGAGTTGAAGTAGGGCAGCTTTGTGCTCATGGATAGCTCCAAGTTCATCCAGCTGCCACCGAAGGGGCCAGATGCCCCGACCATTCTTTTCCGAAATTCCTTCCAATCTGGCCTTTTCTCCATCTTCTATTCCATCGGCAGGACACCACTCTACCTTTGGTCAGCATCAGTAAGGAATGGGCATATCCGGCGAATCACCGACGAAGACATCGGGTCAGCCGCATTGGAAATTGCCGGGAACAACGTGAGCACAACTTCTGTGACTTGTCCGGAACAATCAAGACAGACGCTGGGCATTAAGATGCCCTTTCTGGTCTTGTTGATGAAGAACTTGCACAAGCAACTTGGCTCCTAGTTAATCGTTTCTAAGAGATGTGGCGAAGAAGCAGTGCGATGGTTCAAAGTTCAATTCTACGCATTTGCGATTGCTCGCAAAGATCGGCTGGACGACGGAGCCACTGAGACAGGTCATATCCGTGCCGGAGCATCGTACCTAACATGACGACATGCATCAGATGCAAAAGCCATGCATCGGATTCCCCAACCCAACGTTGGTTGAACAGTGAAAGATTCCCAAGGTACTTCTGTTTCGAAGTCGAGGTACTGGACGACACAGGCTGAGGGTCGGGTATCGTCTGCCTTTCAAGTGGCTGAGGATCTGTATAGGAGTTTCGATTTCAAGAACTGGGTTCAGGGCTGACGTTGACACACCTCAGAATAAACGTGATGTAATAACGCCCTGCTGACACTGATATCCGAAATTTCAAAAGCAGCTTTTGCATTCAGCTTCGCCTCCCAATCGCTGTGCTGCTCGCTATCAGCAACTGAATAGCGAATGTGGGAGGGGCAGATTGTTTCCATGCATGCCGGACTTATCAGCAGGTCCTGGTCTAGCATGTGGCGTTTACGGCTGAGGCTGACGCTTTGCCCCTCTGGCTCCCCGTCTTCGAGTATTTCGTTCCGCTGCACCCCTTCGGAGGGAGCAGAAGGGCTGATGCTATCGGATTACCTGACAGGCAGGAAGCGGCGATTCAAGACGAGCACATTCAATTCCGGAACGAAGGCCGGCACTAATTGATCCGTCTTTGCTCCCGCACTCTCTCAGCTCTTCTGCAGAGATTCACCTGAAACAAGTGCAATTCTCTGTTTGACCCCAACCTTCAACCCTTTTTGCCCTGAAGCCCGGAACCGACAGTGACAGCAGCATTCTCCTCGGCATGACTGCCAAAGAAGGGAAAGCTGTCTTCAAGTACAGTACGAGCCTGTAATGTAGACAATGTGTTGATGGGAAGAAAGGTTTCGGGGTGGTAATTGGGCTTCGTCGACGGCAGGTTCACTGGTTGAGGGGCCCGACCACGAAGATAAATGAGACTGTAAAGTTGCAGATTTCTTAATGGTTCAGGCCCCTTTGCCTCCGGAGCGACGAGCCTTTCCGGTATATTCGTGTGTGCTCCCTGTCTAGCATGTAACTTTTAAGAATCCAGGGAGCTGCTGGCAGTTTCGCCTTGTGCTGAGATGTCGAACCTACATGGAGTCTTTCTTACACCTCTTTCTGCACAGAGCCAGACACCGACAGGCAGACGGACGGACGGTCACACAGAGACAGACAGACACACAGACAGACACCGGACAAACACCGCCAGACACATACGCACACACAGACACAGATACTAGACAGCGACAGAGACAGAGACAGAGACAGACGGACACAGATACAGACAGAAAATACTCTGTTTACACTGACGGTTGGAATATCGCCACCTCAATTTGGCACGTTCATTCGATTCCACCCAGAGAAGGCAGTGGCTGCGTCGGAGCGGTTGGCAGGGGCTTGGTTGTGATTGTTCCGGGGATCGGGTTTCTGGGGGTTGTTCTGAGTCAGGTGATGAGAAACTGACATACTCTAGCGCATTACTTTCGCTAGCTTCCTTTCTATCCATCTATCTATCTGTCCATCCCTCTGTCTATCTATGTATGTACCTCTATCTATCTATCCATCTATCTATCTGTCTATCTATCTATCTACCTATCTGTTGACGTGTCGATTCATGTTGTGTGCTTACTTGTTCGTTTGTTCGGTTCATAAATCATCAGTCCTTCAGTCGGAAATTCATATGGAACATAAGAAGCCCAGTTCATGCCTGTATGGAGGCACTCGCACAAAGGAAGATGTTTGCCGGGCAGGTCGGACCATTCAACTGCTCCATGCCCCTACGCCTGGACGAGGGCTGGAACCAGGCGTGTCGGCGAATTCGGGGGGCCCCTAGGATAGAACCGATAAGCAAGAGGATCCTGAATACCAGGCCCGCTAGCACAGACCCAATACAGAGTAGTATGCTGATTACATGGACTCCTACATGAGAGGGCCAGTTCTGGCAACTTGGAGCCTGTGTTTCATGCAGAAACTTGAAGCTTTTGATAATACCCTTGTTCTAGGGTTCCTGGCAAAAAACCGTGGTGGCCCCCCAACCTTATCCGAAGCCTGATGGCCCAACAAAACTGGTTCTTTGCTTGGGCGGGCGTTTCAGGCATTCCATACCCTGCTCATCGATCACGCCTACATGTCACCGGGGATCATAATTATGGCCCTTTCGGTTCTTTAGGGTAGGGCCAGAACTCCCAAACTCAAACGGCCAGCAGGTGATGTTCAACCTCGCCGACTTCACTCAGCGCGCATGCGGCACGAACTACGTGGACACCTTTCGGCCACGGGTTGTTTTGAACCCATAAGGACTAACTGTTTGCAGGTCAGCGTCAGCGGATTCATGGGCAAGGTCAGTTCAAGGTGTTGAAGGATTAGCAGGAAGACGCGCAAGGCCAACGAAAGGATGGTCGGTCGAGGCTACCAACATGGAAGTTGCCGTAGGCTGACACCAACCCGAACCCAAAATCCAGGCTTTGCTACTTTTTAGCAGCCGAGAAGTTGGCCGTGCATATTTTCGGGATCTTGGTGGCGGCAGGGGGGTTCTGTTTTCACCTAATTACTACGTACCGGTTGAGGATGTTGAAGGCGAGTCATGCATATGTGTATTTACACATATGTACAAGCATGTACACATATATAGATAGATATGCAAATACGCATAAACACATTGTGCATGCATTCATACCTACCTACCTACCTACCTACCTACCTACCTACCTACCTACCTACATACATACATACATACATACATACATATATTTACATGTATGTATGTATATTCATATACATATATATAATATATATATATAATATATATGTATGTATAAACGAACGAGGTGATGAACAGCGTGCGAAGCCCAATGAAAGCTTGAACGCCAAGGAAATCTGTCGCATCACCATCAATGTAGCTTGGCAAAGAAGTTAGGCACTTGGGAATGAACTCGGGTTCGCCGATCTCAAGCCTGGGGCCGCATGTCACAATCCATCTGTAGCCCGGAAAGTCGCAATGTATATGTGTGTGTGTGTGTGTGTGTCTGTGTCTGTGTCTGTCTCTGTCTCTGTCTCTGTCTCTGTCTCTGTCTCTGTCTGTGTCTCTGTGTGTGTGTGTTTGTCTGTGTGTGTGCTAGTGCTAGACAGCTGCTAGTTAAAGCATACCCAATCCGTGAGGATGTTTCCTGCACTGCATCCGAAGCTTGCAGTGCTCCCCTCCCACGCACAGCTGCGACTGCTGAACCGTCTGGAGGCCAACTGCAGGCTGCGACGCATCTTCTTCATGGATCGGCTCTATGCAAGTGAGGTGCGGTTCTTCCCCACCCTTCGGCAAAGAAATTGCGGCTGCAAAGTGTCGTGCGTGTAGCTGGCCACGTGCCTACATGCTTCATAGCGCAGACGCCTTTGGAGTCAAGCCGTCCCCAGCCGCCCTAGCTTAGAGGCTTAGACAAACGAGCATCAATGGCGAAGTCTTTGCCATGGTGGGGAGTCGCGGCATTCTTGCTTGTCGCGATGGACTTCGACAACATCGACATCGAAGATGTCATCGGAGCCAGTGTCACCCAACGAGATGTCGAACCGGAGTTCTTCGAGGCGCGTAGGTATGTGGTTTCAGGGTACGGTCTGGTAGTATGTCTCATCTACAACATGTCATCGGCTTCCGGCAAGATCCCAAGAGAACGTGTGCTTGCAGTCTGCTTCTTGTGAATGCTGAGCTGACAGGAGACAGCTAGGAGATTGGCCGAAGAAGGATGGTACAAGCCAGATCCAGACGAGTTCGACTTTTCAGCAACTTCTCCACCCAGCGAGTTCCATTCAACTACTCAGCCCAGCGGGCTCCACTCCGAGGACGGCGAGAAGATCGTGGAGGGCACAACTAACCTTACCGTGAAGAATGTTAAGCTGATGAGACACGGTAGCCTGGTGCTTCCGTTCCAATCGCCGGCGCAGATCTTAGCGAACCACTCGCTCCAGGTGACCGTGCCATGCCTGGATTTCTTTACTTTCCAGCTGATTACGCCTTGTGGCAACTTGACCTTGCCGAGAGAAGGCATCCAATTCAGCACAGCCTTTGGAAAGTATACGATGCCTGGCGCTGACTTCCTCCAACCCTCGCTCAGAAAGACAGAAAGGGAGTTGAGTCAATACACCGTGCTCTTCATCGTGCTGGCAGTTGTGGGTTGGTTCTGCTACACCTTCTTGATCAAATCGAACCGAGAGAAGTTTTTCTATAGGATGCGAGAGATATGTTCGGGAAGGCTCATCTACCACGACCATGAAGATGACGAAGATGATGAGGAGGATCCGAAGAACCCCCTTCACCACGACGAGCAGAAGGCAAGAGGGCTGGAACATCATTAACTTACAGGAGGCTTTAGAAAGGTTTCCGGAACCCGAAACTCGCATCCCTACCACTCACCTATAACCTCGCCTGGCTTGGCCGAGTGTAAGCGCCGAAACTCACATCCCTGCTTGTCATGGTCGCGTATATATTGCCCCAAGGCACGTTTGGACCCCATGTCGCCCGAGTTCATCGCCCCTGGCAACATTTACCGCTTGCTCGCGGTCCTGCATCCCGGTATCATCGGGTTCAGGGCCTGGGGTGGGTATGCATTCAGGGCTGCCATCGTTGCTTACATGCAGCTTTGGATGCCCTTCCAAATTATCACCAACACGTTCAAGCGGTGGCACTGGCTGGGCATCAAGTCTCCCCTGTGGTTCCTCGCCAATGCGGGCACCTTCGTTGCCATGGTCACTGCATTGGGCTCCCTTTGCGGAATGTTCGCCGCCAGGTGCACCGCACACATCTATCGAGGCGCAGAGGCCAACATCTACATTCTCTCGCATTACAACCCAGGGGAGAACGATAGCAAACGGTCGTCCATCCGATCATCGGTGTCGTCTCAGCAGTCTCCCCTTCATTTGGATCACTTGGAGGCTTCTAATTCTATCCCTTCTCTCACCGGTGCCTCGTCACTTCAACGCATGGCCCGTGTGGCAGGGGCGCAGGAGACGCTGGACGGGGCCTACACGACGATCAACGAAGGCATCGGTACTGCCACCGGTACTGTCAACAAGGGCATCGATACGGTCAACAAGGGCATCAATCAGGCCTATGCCACATATTCGCGAATTGAGAAGCCCAGATTCTCTCGCTGGGCTATTGACTTCAACGAGTTCATTTGGTGCAACGTGGCGATGGGATTGAATGTCTTGATGTCTGTGATGCTTGAGTTCTGCATGTTCTTGAAGGTGGCCACCTACACCGGACGAATTGGCAACGTGGCTATGACGGCGGTATCTCTCTACTTCATCTTCGACCTCGACGACAGGGTCATGGAGGCCGATCCGAAGCTACGACAAAAATACCGTCGGGCTGTTGCTGCACAAACCGAACCCAAGCTCAAGGAACATCATCCTTGGATGATACCAACGATCGCCAGCCTGTCGGCGGCTTTCGTGAACCTCACTGTGCCTGGGCTCTTGTTAAGGAGCTTGCTATAAACTCAGGGTATATAGCACAACATGGTTCCCTATGGTGGTACGTTGAATCAATCTCCTCAACAAGAACCCAGGTGCCCCTTGGTCTTATCGGCATCGTGCTGATCGCCTGGAAGCGTGAGAAAGATGGCTTTGTCATTGGCGGGGATGGCCTCACTACAGTTTGAGATGAGCTGCTGAGCAGCTGCTGGCCTTGTCTTAAGGGTCAGCTGCCACAGAGAGATCCAGAAAGTTTGATCTAAGGGCGCAAAGTAGCTAGAATAGCTGTTAGCTGCGCTTTGGCGCACATTTTCCAAAAAGTCAGCAGCGAGTGCACCACTGGACTGTTTTAGATTCGGTCATTGGCTTCGTCAGTTGTTCAGTCATTCAAAGAATTGCTGAAATTCACGGAGCGTAAACCATCGAGCGAGAAAAGGGACCCGTGTGGGGGACTAGATGCCAGAACCTGACATGTCCACCTCAACCCTCCACTGGCCCTAAACTCCTAAACCCTTAGTTGCTTCATCCAGGAGCTGCCGAAGGACTTTCGGCTGGAGGTGCAGTCAGCGAGCCATTTTCGTGGTCTTCAGACGCATCGGGCCTACTTGGTTCTATGGATTTCAGATGCAAAGAGACACTGTATGTAAGAGTTCAAAGACGGTTCTCCAATTACTGAGCTTTTTGATGCTTCTACACGTCAGCAGGAGGTTGTAATCTGCTGTCCTGTAGGGTTTGTGGCTTAAGGGCCGGGGTGGAAACAAGAATTCAATCCTTCCGGTTGCCACAAATATATATATATATACATACATACACACACACACACCCCTCTGTATGTATATATACATATATACACATTTTTCTATATATACATGCATTTGTTTGTGCATTTATTTGTTTATACAAGCTATTATGACAACAATATTGGCAATGGCATTGCCTCCATTAGATGTTTGATCAATCTTGACAATGGCCAGGTGCGTGACAAAGTACCACTAGCAGTGCCCGCAAGTCTTGCATCCTGGCATGGCGCTATTCGTGATAAGGGTTCTTATCAGAGCTACTGTAAGGGTTCCTGTATGAAGGACGTATGTGGGCTTCAAAACTCCTAGCACTCCTGACCTCTGTCCATCCTAACCTTGTCTTCGTGCGTCAGCATATGGAATGAGGTATTTAGCATAATTGGACATAGAGGGTTTGCCTGCATGTATCCTCATGCTGGGCGGGAAGCTTGCTCATTTTTACGTACAACTTGCTGAGAGGGAACGGGCTTGTGAGCTGCCGACATCTCCACCGCGGCCCTGTGGGACTAGGACGAAGGCATTCAGAGTGGGCTTGCACATAGCTGAGTCCAACAAATCATACGGCCAAGCCTTCAGCCCCCTTCATGCGACACAATGCACGGAGTGTTGATCCATATTGGTACAGTGCTGAGATTGGTGAGGATCTCAAGAAAAACACAGCAAAGAATAGTTCTCAAGCCTGTTCCCTACAACTTACAGCTCTGCACTTTAATTTCATCTCTGGTAGCCTGCTAGAACCCTCAAAGGAACTCTTACAAGAAGGCTCGGACCCTCAAGCCCTGGCCACCGAGTGAGGCAGCCCAGGCTGGCCAGATAGAGCTGACAGAGAGCAACCTAATGAAGGATCAGGACCGCATTGAAAAAACATCCGGGGGTTTAGGGTTTAAGCGTTTTAGGGGATAGGGTTTAGGCCTATCAATCTGTATTCTCGATCTATCTATCTAGCCATCTATCTAT